CGATCCTCACACGATTCCTTACGATTACATCATTGTTGAGTTTTTTTTTTAATAAAAACAGATCTCATCTGCTGTCATAACAAATGAAACTCTCAAGACACATAAGAAATCAAGGCGTAGAGTTTATTTCGGCAAAAGAATTTTTACGTATAAAAGAATTCCTAATCTCTTCCGACATAATCGGATGAAAGTTTCAACAACGATAATTCCAAGTGAAAAAGTATTGACATGATGAATTATAGTATGGTTTTATTGACACTTTTCTCAAAAGAAACGAGGACTGATTTTTATTTTAGAACATGTAAGTTGGTAAAAGCCGACTTTCTTTCTTTATCTTCTATAAATTAGACGAACAATTCGTTTCTATCATCAAATAGTACTTCAACTACCTCTGGTGGGTATCGATCATCATTATGTGGGATATCAGAAACTTTTAGAAGGTAGTACTCTCAAGAATGGATGGTAAAACCCACAAGTAGTGCGCATAACCCAAAAGTGTTTCACAAAACCCTTTCATCCGTATGTATGGTTATGATGATGGTTACGAAATACCGTTGATCTAGCGTCTGGTACCATTTTTTGGGTACGATATGTAACTCCGAAGTGGTAAAATGGTTTTTGAAAGTGCAACGAATAATATATCATTTTAGGGTAGTTCCTACTTCAATACGTCTCTTAAAAGATAGTAAAATCTTTCGAGTGGGTATCGTGTGCCAATATATGTCTGAAATGTGGATTTCAAGAGGTATTCAAAGAGGTTTGTGAAGCGCTACGCTACGCTTTGAAGGGTTCATTACTCGTTGCAGTTTCGAGTACCCTTTTAGAGTGTTTCCGTTCTGCTGTTTTTTTTCCAGTGTAGTTGAAGATGGCAAGGTCATAATAATCATTCGAAGGAAGTTGTCGTTTCATTTAGAAACGTCCGGTAAAGAAGAAAAACGACAATAGTGGTCAAATTTGTTTCCATTAAAACTGACTAGAATGAAGGCTCTCCTCGAAAAATAATTTTCGAGGACATATTCCTATGTTCTTTTGCATAGAAAACGTTTCTGAAGGTTATTGTATGCTGGACTACTAATTCAGTCGAGGGCCAAGCGAGTCAGCCTCGACGACCATTATTTATTTATGTGTAACATAAGGAATGTGTTTTATAGTTTAATACGTAATATAAAACTAGTATCTCAAGACATATTTGTCGTTCCTCAACATCATTAAGATAATCTTGTTGTAAAAAATCACGATAATTTTGATATAGACGTTAGAAACGCAATCGACAAAAGATTCTTCACCTTCTCTTTGCTTTCATCGTATCCATCATGTCACAATCAACATTCATAAGGCGATCCATTGAATATATTCCACTCTGCCTTTCTTATACCGGTGATTTCCGTGATTATAGAATAAATAGACTATGGGCTGTAATCTAAATATATCAATTCTTGAGAATATAATCTTGAAAGTAATCTTTCTTGAAAAACAAAATATAATTATTAAAATGACTATCACCATTCGTTAATACTGTTGATATTATGCTAGCCATGCAAAATCTGATTTAGACCTCGTTTCTTGCCCAGTAGCTCGTAAATATCGTTCGATATGGTGTAAGGATCTAGAAATTTTGAAAATACATTCCACAGATGTTCTGTCTTGTTTCTTCGAAAATTCGAGTTTATATGAGGAAATAAATATCATAAGGATGTTAACAATTTTGTCATACGGTATCATTCATATGAAGATAATTTTAGTGAATATCACAATGCTCTTCATGAATGATTTTGTGGTGATACATAACTTTACTCTTCTCTATCTTCATGTTCTGTAATAGTTTAATTACAGAAAGTCAGTTTTTATTCATCAAACTAAAAGTTTTAAAAAATCCATGAAAATCAAAGTCATATAGATATGACAATGTTCATTTTTCACATTTACAAGCTCCGCATTTGCAATCATTGCATTTGCATGATGGTCCACAGCTTGTGTTTTCATGAGAACATGATTTGCAATCACATTTACATGAGCAAGAATCATCACATTTNTAATAACCACTATATACTGAACTGCGTTTAACAAGCTACATACCGCGATTTATGACACCGGCAGTAACCACTATATGCTGAACCGCGTTTATCAGTGTATATACCGCGGTTTATGATATCGGTAATAACCACTATATACTGAACTGCGTTTAACAAGCTACATACCGCGATTTATGACACCGGCAGTAACCACTATATGTTGAACCGCGTTTATCAATCTATATACCGCGGTTTATGACACCGACAGTAACCACTATATACTGAACTGCGTTTATCAATGTATATACTGCGGTTTTCGAATATCGCGGTGAGCGGAAACCGCTGCATACCGCGGTTGCGAAAATGACACCGCGGTTTGTGATATAAAAACCGCGGTTTTTAGAAAAAAAATTTTCCGTGGGAATACGTAATATAAAACTAATATCTCAAGACATATTTGTCGTTCATCAACATCGTTAAGATAATCTTGTTGTAAAAAGTCACGATAATTTTAATATAGACGTTAGAAACACAATCGACAAAAAATTCTTCACTTTCTCTTTGCTCTCATCGTATCCATCATGTCACAATCACCATTCATAAGGCGATCCATTGAATATATTCCACTCTGCTTTTCTTATACCGGTGCTTTCGGTGACTATAGAATAAATAGATCATGGGCTCTAACCTAAATATATCAATTCTTGAGAATATAATCTCGAAAGTTATCTTTTCGAAAAGCAAAATCAATTTATTAAAAATGACCATAACCATTCGTTAATACTGTTGATATTATGCTAGCCATGCAAAATCTGATTTAGGCCTCGTTTCTTGACAGTTGTTGTCCAATAGCTCGTAAATATCGTTCGATATGGTGCAAGGGTCAAAAAATTTTGAAAATGTATTCCAACAATATTGTTTTGTCTCTTCCAAAATTCGAGTTTATATGAGGAAATAAATATCATAAGGACGTTAACAATTTTGTCATACGGTATCATTCACATGAAGATAATTTTAGTGAATATCACAATGTTCTTCATGAATGATTTTGTGGCGGTAAATAACTTTACTCTTCTCTAATTTCATGTTCTGTAATAGATCAATTGCAGAAAATCAGTTTTTATTTATTAAACCAAAAGCTTTAAAAAATGCATGAAAATCAAAGTCATAAATATGACAATATTCATTTTTCACATTTACAAACTCCACATTTACAATCATTGCATTTGCATGATGGTCCACAGCTTGTGTTTTCATGAGAACATGATTTGCAATCACATTTACATGAGCAAGTATCATCACATTTGCAGTTACCATTTTGACATCCAGCACCGCATCCACAAGCAGCAGCTAAACATCAACATGAGAGATAGAGAGATGAAAATGTGAGGAAAATAAACTTACATTTGCATTGACATGGTTTTGGCATGTTGATTATTTGATTTGATTTGTAGATGATATAGGAACAGATGAATGAATGAATGAAGGAAAATGTGTGAGTATATATACACGTCGATCGAGAGGTGTGGTTTGACCCATGAACGTGCAGGTGGATTGTTGGATAGCACCCCTTATTAAAAAGGGGGATATGTTACATTTTTACTGAGATTCGGTAANACGGCACCCCCTTATTTTGCGTCGTAATTATTTTGATCTATATTTTTAGGCATAATACGTTGATTGACGATCTAGTGATAATGAAATAATTAATAAGATCGATATTCATTATCATAATTTTTAGTATTTAAATTGAAAATTGGCTTTCAAACAACTACAGTCATCTTCATGATGCTATACGTAATGCATTCATTTTTTCACTTTATTCTCTTTCAATCAATCATTTTTTCGTGTATGACGTCATTAAAACGTGTTTCACCTTGATTGTTATTACTTTGTATCATTATCTATTTTGACTATAGTAAATTAAATGCACCCCTTCTTTTTCGTGTTCGTCCAAAGTCATATCCAAGGAGGGAAAAACAAAGAAACCACGGGGAGAGGGTATACATTACGTGAAAAAGGGGTGCTCAATTACCGAATCTCAGTAAAAATGTAACATATCCCCCTTTTTAATAAGGGGTGCTATCCAACAATCCACCTGCACGTTCATGGGTCAAACCACACCTCTCGATCGACGTGTATATATACTCACACATTTTCCTTCATTCATTCATTCATCTGTTCCTATATCATCTACAAATCAAATCAAATAATCAACATGCCAAAACCATGTCAATGCAAATGTAAGTTTACTTTCCTCACATTTTCATCTCTCTATCTCTCATGTTGATGTTTAGCTGCTGCTTGTGGATGCGGTGCTGGATGTCAAAATGGTAACTGCAAATGTGATGATACTTGCTCATGTAAATGTGATTGCAAATCATGTTCTCATGAAAACACAAGCTGTGGACCATCATGCAAATGCAATGATTGCAAATGCAATGATTCCGAATGCAACGATTCCGAATGCGGAGCTTGTAAATGTGAAAAATGAATATTGCCATATTTATATGACTTTGATTTTCGTGCTTTTTTAAAAACTTTTAGTTTAATAAATAAAAACTGATTTTCTGTAATTGAACCATTACAGAACATGAAAAAGAATATCTATCTACGTATATATATTAGATCACAATATGTTAAAATCGATAGTATATTATACGATATATAAATAGTGTAAGGATGAGGGTGATGGTATTCTTTCATTTAATCCTCACTCTCTTCAATATAACCAAAAAAAGTCACCTATGAGCAACGTTTTTTCTGTGCATCTATTTATGAAGAAATCATGCCGTTTTTTCTTTATTATTTAAGTGATTTACCACAATGGAACCCAGCGATGGGTTCCACATTATTGTTACCAGAAACTCAGTAAAGAAACATTTTCTTCTCACTTTACTTGCTTAATTAGAGGTTCCATATGAAGTGTCACGTGTTCTACTTAAATACTACTTATTTGTGTATTGAAAAATACGGTGCTTTTGATTGAAAAAATCAGGACAGAAAGCTTTTATTATTTTCGCAGTTCTATGAGCGATTTTTCTTGATTGTTGCTACTTTATTTTCTCGTAGCAGTCAGCACAACGGTTTCGGACATCACGAGTAGAACCTTCCTTTCCTTCGAGCGTGTGATCAGCAAGTTTACGCTTCGTTGGACCGATTAATTTAGTTTTTGTGTTGGCCTCGGTTTCAACTTCTCGAATGCTTTGCTTAATAGTAAAGATCGGACAAGACTTTCACGACACTGTACAATGGTTACCTCGCCTATCAAATAGTTATCTACCAATGGGGAACTGCAACGATGAGCACGGGAAAGATAAGCACAAGTAACGCTCATCCTTTGGATTCGCTGACCCTTTTCTGAAAGACTTTTCCTAATGCTGAACACATTCAGAGACTTTGAAAGAGAAAAAACGCTTTACGATTACTACTAATGCTCAACTGAATCATAGCACTATGTCACATACTAGAGTGAATAGGGTACAGAGGTCTTTTTAGCAAGCAGACCGATTAGCCGTTTGTCAGCAGATAGTTCTCCAGCACTAACTATGTTGACTGAAAAATTCATCGCTCAACGGCTAGTCAGACGGCCACTCACGGCGAACCATTGACCTTTGTCATCTGTTTTTCTATTTTCATATCACGCGCATGGAAATTTTCATAAATGCTTTACTAAATCATCCATAGATGGACGACATACAATAGACTACTTGAAAAGTTTAAACATTCGCCTGTGTCTTCTAGCCATAAACCNGAGCTTGTAAATGTGAAAAATGAACATTGTCATATCTATATGACTTTGATTTTCATGGATTTTTTAAAACTTTTAGTTTGATGAATAAAAACTGACTTTCTGTAATTAAACTATTACAGAATATGTTTAAATCGATAGTGTATTATACGATATATAAATAGTGTTAGGATGAGGGTGATGGTATTCTTTCATTTAATCCTCACTTTCTTCAATATAACCAACAAAAGTCGTCTGTGAAGAACGTTTTTGTGTGTGCATCCATTTATGAAGAAATCGTGGTGTTTTTTCTTTATTATTTAAGTGACTCGCCACGACGGAACCCACCGATGGGTCCCGCCTTATTGTTACCAGAAACTCAGTAAAAAAACATTTTCTTCTCATTTTACTTGCTTAGCTAGAGGTTACATATTAAGTGTCACGTGTTGTGCTTAAATAGTACTTATGTGTATTGAAAAATACGACGCTTTTGATTGAAAAGATCAGGACAGAAAGTTTTTATTATTTTCGCAGTTCTATGAGCGATTTCTCTTGATTGTTGCTACTTTATTTTCTCGTAGCAGTCAGCACAACGGTTTCGGAGATCGCGAGTAGAACCTTCCTTCCTTTCCTTCGAGCTTGTGATCAGCAAGTTTACGCTTCGTTTGGCCTATTAATTTAATTTTTGTGTTGGCCTCGGTTAAATTCTCGAATGCTTTGCCTAATAGTAAGGATCGGACAAGATTTTCACGACACTGCACAATGGATCAGTGTGAAGCTAGCACAAACAAACGATGTTTTAGCTAAACACTTTTTACTAAGTATGTCCCGTCCATGAAAACTACATCATTAGATTCAGAATTTAATTCTGCATCGAACGGCGCCACTTTTATTCACCGGACAAACTTTGGAAAAATTCTATCTGAATTATAAATAGACCTAAAGGAAACGAACAAAGATATAGATAGAAAAATTTCCAAAGTTTGTCCGGTGAATAAAAGTGCCACCATTCGATGCAGAATTAAATTCTGAATCTAATGGTGTAGTTTTCATGGACGGGACATACTTAGTAAAAAAGTTGTTAGCTAACACACTGATGCACAATGGTTACCTCGCCTATCAAATAGTTATCTACCAGTGGGGAACTACAACGATGAGCACGGGAAAGATAAGCGCAATGAAATTTGAGGGCATTAATTAAATATATCTATTTTTATTGAAGGGCCAATTGATATTACTTTGGCAGGATTATCTCTCGGCTTTCATTACATAGTTAGTTGATTAAACCTAGTTATAAGTGATAATCTAATTTCTCAGAAATAAGACAAATAACTCGATATAAAAGGAAAAAGACAAAGCATTTTTTCCATATTCCTCATTTACTTTTCTCGAATATGGCAAAAATAACTACTTGTAGAACGACTAAAAGAAAACCACTTCTGAATCACCAGGGGTACTCTTATGTTCGAGATAGACGAAGAGAAGATAGAATCTACTGCATGGCGCTGCAGTAGATATTCAACACAACATTGTCGTTCTCGTTTGCACACATGTATTATTACCAACAGTATTAAAAAAGAACCAGCTGAACACTCATATCAATTCGATGCTATTACAGTTGAAATTCGAAGATTCGAGCAACAATTGATCGATCGCGCCAAGAATACACAAGAAACACCAGAGGTCATTATGACTAATCGTACTAGAGGTAAAGATATGCTTTTCTAGCTGACAATTTGTGATTGCTTTTTTGATCCGGTATGTCTGATCAAGCACTTAGTCGTCCACCTGTTCGTGATCATATTAAACGGCGAATTCAAAAAATACGCGCTAAAAATGATTATGCAACTGTGCCAAACGATCCTAATTTTGTGTCAATTTCATTTACATTGAGTAGCACCCAATATGGTAGTGAATTCTGACGTCGTGATATTGGTCCAGGTACGCCTTCAATACCTTGAATGATATTTTATATCTTTGTTTTTTTAATTTAGACGAAGACAGAATTTAATCTTCGCCAGCAATGAACAGGTTGGGATTATGGGGATTGCCGAACATTTGATGTCAGATGATACTTTTAAAGTTGTACCAGGAATATTTTATTCACTATATATCACTCATGCGGTCTACAGAGATCATGTTATACCTGTTTGCTATGCTTTATTACAACAAAAACATGCAGCAACCTATGAAAGATATTCACTAAAATTTTAAACTTTGCACCAGCATCGTCACCTGAAACAATGATGATTGATTATGGAAAAGCCTGTATACGTGCGTATCATATCATTTTTCCAAATGCACAATTATCTGGTTCCTATTTCCACCTGAAATACAGCATTCATCGTAAATTACAAGTAAATATGATTTATTATAAAAAAAACAAGTAACGCTCATCCTTTGGATTCGCTGACCCTTTTCTGAAAGACTTTTCCGAATGCTGAACACATTCAGAGACTTCGAAAGAGAAAAAACGCACTGCGATTCCTACTAGTGCTCAACTGAATCATCGCACTATGTCACACACTAGAATGAATAGGATGCAAAAGTTTTTTAGGGATCAGACCGATTAGCCATTTGTCAGTGGATAATTCTCCAGCACTCACTATGTTGACTGAAAAATTCATCGCTCAACGGCTAGTCAGATGGCCACTCACGGCCAACCATTGCTATTTGTCATCTGTTTTTCTTTTTTCACATCACGCGTATGGAAATTTTCATAAGTGCTTTACTAAGCCACTCATAGACGGACGATATACAGTAGACTTCTTGAAAAGTTTGAACATTCGTCTGTGCCTTCCAGTCATAATCCGATTCTTTTCTCTCCTGTCAACAAAATGATACCTTGTCGAATATTTTCATTGAGGAATATCCATTCGTCAAATCCCTTTCAAAACTATCGGAAGCCTGGCGAGGTTATTCTAAGCGTTCACTTTAGGATTAATCTAGCATTAAACGCCTAGTCGTTCGTCGACCTCTCTCCAGTCGGTCACTCACGAAAGTCTTATTATATGATTTGCTTCGACACGAACATCTTTCATAGCGCTGCATGTGTTCAGAATACTGTTTCTACAGTCCACGCGTCTGTAGTTACTAAGATGAAATTCCATCGACGGCTATTTCACTTTGCGAACTACTTCTACTAAATTCCTATGAAAAGACATGATGCATGTGGCCTACAAAGCAAAGATGACACTAAGCTCATATCACTTTTTTGGATTTCTTCAGTTAGAAACATCATTATGTACAATGCATTAGATCTTTTCGTGTAAGTTCTTGAGCTACTATCTTTGTACACATGACGTCCGTGAATAGCGTTCAGCTNCCTACAAAGCAAAGATGATACTAAGCTCATATCACTTTTTCGGATTTCTTCAATTAGAAACATCATTATGTACAATGCATTAGATCTTTTCGTGTAAGTTCTTGAGCTACTATCTTTGTACGCATGAAGTCCGTGAATAACGTTCAGCTCACTATCTTTTACAAAAGATTTTAGAACAGATAAAGAAAAATATCTCCTTTGTAAAGAGGAAGGAACAAGTCCAGGCTCAGCGAATAAGACGAAATTAACCCTCAAATTCAAATTTCCCGACGTCAGAAATCCTTCGGTCTACTCTGACAATGAATGTTAATAAGTCGTGGCTAGTTAATGAAAAATGAATAATTAATTAAGCAACACTAACCTCAGATTCGAGTTCCTCGACTCCGCTTACCTTTCGGTCAACCCATATAAAAAAAACATTTTTTTAAAAAAAAGTGATTCTTTGTCCCAAAAAAGGACCAAAAAGTTTTCTCGAAAAACCGATCACGGATTCGGGTTCCCCGACCCCGAAAACCTTTCATCAATCGTTTGCTAATAACCATAGTTAAGTTTTCATTCATTTATTGAATGCTGCAATCTGATTGGATTATGCAAACAAGCAAGCAAACTTTTTGCATTTCAACGATCAGATTTATGACGCTATAACCCTTCCTTTCAGAAAAGAGAACAATACTTTGATTGAACTTCTTTAACTTAGTCATTACGACAACAAAATGAATATCAAACCACTTCTACTTTTGCTCATAATAATACACAACATTCGAGCACCTTTGGTTAATCTTAAATACTTTCTTTACATTCAAAAATACTTCTTTAGAGAAATCAATAGATAAAAGTTGTTTGACGATATTACTTATTTATGTCAAAAGATAGCTCTCGACATTCTGTGGGTGTTAAGGGGCACCACCAACGTGCGCTCTCACAAAGTTGGGTGATTGTGGTGATAGCATAGAATATTAATACCCGAATAATGTGACATCTAAAGCAACCATAATTCAAGAATTAAAACGTACGGTGAGAGAATTCGAAAAGATATTATGTTTGAAAGTTGTGCTTTTTGGACCACGATCGACTGTATGGATGTGACAAGATAATGGAAACCATTTAAAATAATAAAAATATCTAGTTTTATAGAGAATTAGACGGGGAATCTTTCTATAGACAAATACTTTTTTCTAGCTCGAATCATAGGTAAGAAAAATGCAAAATACTGGGGAGGTCATTCTTTATGGCCCATTCGTTAGTAAACTTCTTCTAGTGAAAAGAGATTCTCCGGACATATTTTTCAGAGTAGTTTTGTATTTTCCCAAGTAAAAGAAACTAGAATTTCCCACAAGTTTACAAAGTCGTAGCAAGAGGGGTGTTTAGAATGAAATATCGCTCATAAATTCATTTTTTATTTATTAACAGAACAAATAACACGAGAATGAAGATTATAAGAATAAAGACTATGGTATGATCATATTCACTAGAACTCATATTCGTTGGAGGAACAGTTGAGTTCTTTTCTCCTGATGATTTTCAATTGGCTTTATCTTACAACAATCAATACTTACAAACTGCGCTTGGTCTATCATCAAATGACAAATAATCTTCGACGAGTTAAAGAGATTTTATAAGTAGTGTGGATATGGATGATATTCTTGTTTTCGTGGACATCTTCACCCTCAGAACTTTTATTTCAGACAACAGTGAGACAATACAAACTCAAACAACATTTATTGAAAGTTGTCAAACTAAATAAGACATTTGAATCATGTCAATTAGCTGTTGCATATTGAACTCATAGATCCGTCGTACCTATTGGTATCACTCTTTTTGTCGTTGCGACAGTAGATAAATGATGTGGTCGTGTCGTTGACATACAGAAGATTTTCTTCTCGATCGTTTTGCGTAATTCTGGATATTGACTTAAAGCTGTAAATGGAAAGAGTAAAGTAATATAATATGCAAAAAAGTAGAAATAAAGACGAGCTTGAGCACCATAGTCTGATGGTAAACCACACATATGAGCAAAAGTAATAAGATAAATTGGTAAGTTAATACACATATTAATACCAGTTACTAAACATAATTGAATAATCATTCGTCTTTGTTTACGCCATTGATCAGATTGATGAAGGCGTCGTTTTTGCCATTGAACACGTAAAATAAGAGCAATACTAATGATTCCTTCCAATATAATAGGTGCCCAATTATTAGCAAATAAATCCCAAAAACCAAAAACACCATATGATTGATAACATGGTGATATTCCACATGCTGGTGCTGTATAATCATAACTGTTTTCACAAGGTATGAAGAAAACAGCAATTATATAAAAGAGAAGAACATATGTAACAAGAGAAATTAAAGGAAAATAATGAAAAAGAAAACGTCCTTTTCGATTTCCCACCCATTGATGATGAAATATTAAAATATGTCGTTCAAGAGCCAACCAAGCTAAAAGAATAACACCTCCATTATAAAAAGTAATATCAATCCACCACCATATAATACAAACAATTGGCTTTGATGTTACAAACGAATTATATTGATAAAATATAAGATATAATATGATATCTGGTAGTTGAACAGGGAGATTTGTAAGAAGGATAACGAGAATTGTATGATTTTGTAATGCATGTCGTCGAGTTCGATTCATAATAATATGAATAATGATACAGAAAGTACAAATAATCGATGGAATATCACTTAAAAGGAAAAACCAGAAACGAACTATACGTGGTAGGGAAATTTCTGAACTCTCAGATGAAGTATCATCAGTGTTAGAACTGTTGTTTGTAGACATCATTTATAATAATAATTATGAAAGATTTGAAAATGAATGACAAATCTTTCTTTTTTATGAATAGAAGTTATCAATTAAAAATTGTGAAATTGATAGGACAGGTAGATGAAGTGTTAAACTGAAATTTACAATTAGAAACAATTCATGTGGATTATCAGACTTAACACTGTCACACAGATATCATGAGTTATATTTTGTGACATGAAAGATCTCATTTTTTTGCGCAAAATCATCCAAAATTGTGCTGTATACAGATTAATGTGTCACTTTGAACATGTCTCTGTGTAAAATAGAAAAAGACGAATTCGAGTGAGAGTGTGAGTGTATATAGGTACAAGTGAACCTAAATCTATTTCTATTCCTATGTAGATAGGGATTGTAGTGTGTTAGGAATAGGCCACTTATATTATAAGTCGAATTAGGCAGCTACTCCTGTTTTAAACGTTGATGGTAAAAATCAAAAGAATTCTCGTATGAAAGAAATTTGAAAATTTTTCATGTTGAGTTTGGGATCAAAGACTTCAAATAGATGAAAATATCTTAGTCGTTTTCTGAATTGATTTGTTTTTGTTTAATTGATGAAATATTAATTTTTCCATTTCTTTATTCTCTTTTTTTTCTATTTTTATCTGAATTTGTTTTCCTCGTACATTCCAATCTCAGCTGAATTCTTATGTCAACTGTGGCATATATAATAATGTAAAAAGCAAGCTTTTGCCATAGTATCCGTTAATTTCTCATAAATATCATATTAAAAATGAATTTACTATTATTCATATACTTTATTTATATAGATAATCTGCAAATAAGTCGAATTGAATATGATTTAATAATTAATTCAAATTGATTTTGCCATCAGTAGATTCTTTAGTAAGATCACTAACAGTATTGTCATCGCAACTGTTCTCATCCTCGATGCTTTTAAATTCTACATAGAATTTTGTATGGCATAGGAGTAAGTCCTACAACACATGCTTGAGTAGAAACTTTGCTAATGTTTTTTAAATTTCTAATATAATTCTCCCGATATCTCTGAATTTCAATTAGATTTCTGTCTCGTATGTTTTATACGATGTGATAGAATAAGTGCTATAATATAAAATGCTGAATTCTGCAGGTCCTCTTCATAAGAGAGGGAGGGAATAGTTATTAACGCATATGGAGCTTTAGCAACTGATGAAAATAGATTTCCATCCAAAGTTTGTGCGTTGCTTAGTATCACTGAAGCTCAGGAGAAGCGAATGTCTTGTATCTTCGCAATTGTGCTGCGAATACGAAGGTAGCAAAATAGATGAAAAGATCCACTGCGATGGTGCTAATCTTCATGGCTTGGAGAATAACTTGTTGCATTGAAAAGAATGGGTATCTTGAGTGAATGCAGTGTTCATCGAAAACTTAAAAACATAGATTGTTTGATAGCGGATAAAGGGGACATAGACGTCCATATATAGCTTTACCTGGTGTATAAATGTATAACTCGACACTCGAATTCTATCATTTAATTATTCGAGCACTCAATTATTCAACTCTTATACTTGAAGAGTATTCAATTACCCAGCTCGATTAATCCCATACTCGGATCCTAATAACGTGAACCGATAACTTCTAACAAATTCCAATATAAATCTTAAAATGTGCCCCGCAAACGAGGAAAACGATGCGCTACACTCACGCACACTATTATATCATCACTATTCGCAGCTGTTCATGAACGGATATTTGTTGACGCTAAAAACAAATCCATCTTCCTAACCATCATATATTCAATAGAGATTAATTCTCATATTTTCACCGCATAACTTCATCAGACACTACCATAGAAAAAATAAGACACAAACTCTTTAGCGATTATCGCTGGTACCGATAATGAATGCTCATACTAAAACAACACATAACAAACCGCAGTATCCTATCCATTGTGCCCTTACATAATTCAATTACATCAATCAAAATTTCTGCTTAGCAAATATTACACTAATTACAGCGCTTCATCCACATAAGCCCATCCTGCGATGCATTACTGATGTTTTACACCGCGTTCTCGATTTAAAATCTTAACCCTCGTCCGTTGTTTGTGAGCCCGCGTGGACTCACGATGATGTTTTTCGATCTTTGTCGTTGAACGCTTCTACATTTTGAGACGAAGCTTCAGATAGTCGTTAGTCTTCCATCAGCGTATAGAACTCTTGTGATATCCCAATGACAGCTTCTAAGAATAAAAAAATTAATGGTGGGTTTACATGGACCCATTGGCGGTTCGTGTGATATATAAGCGATTAGTACTTATATAAATGCTACTAGGCATGCAACAATCCCGATTCCAACTAATTCCACTCGATTCTAGAATCGGAATCAAATTTGAATTGTTTGTAATTGGGATTGGTGCATACCTAACCGTATCCGACTTTCCATCGTCACTTCCGACAGCCGGAACCTACTAAATACGCCCACCAGCAGTTCCGTCGCAAGTCGAGCAATTCCAGCTTCTGTTTCATCGGATCAATCCTTCTCCTTCACATTCCGGCTACTCTTTCGCCCGATCCACCTTTCTCCATAGTATTCCGGTCTCGCAGGCCCTAGTCTCATACCTAAAACAAGGTTTCCGGCAAACCCGCAGCGACTTCCGATCCAACAATATCCCACTCCGTGCACTCGCACCTCACTCAAGTACTTCAAACTACTTTGAAATGAATCTGAGATATGTTCACCTTCTATACATGTATAACTCTCTGAAGTATTGTATGTAGTTCACGATAAACAAGCTTTTGAAATGCTGGCAGCATTTATGGGAGCACGATCGTAAAATCGAAAGCCGGATTGCAAAGTTCTAAGTATTGTTTTTCAGTTGTCTCTTGCACTTCTTGTGGTTGCGAACGAATGATGTGCGCTGGAAGGAAGCCGGATGGTATATGAAGTTGCTGATGGTTCAATATTTTCCGGCGGGAGTCTGTTGTTATATTGATTTGAATAGCGTTTCGTTTGAATTTTAATGTTGTGCGAATGATTCTGGCAAGTTCTCGTAGATCTGGACTAAAAAAACAGGAAAGAAAGATGCTCAAATTATCCAATGGGTTAGATTCTAGTATGATGATTTTGAAGGTAATATTCCGGGGATTGCCGGCGAAGCACCTTCAGAGAGCGGTCGGAAAATGTTCGCCATGTAATTGAAAGAGCGGGTGATCATTCGGGCCTGTCGGTTATGACAGGTTCTTATTGGTTCCATAGGAAACCTCTATAATCTGTTCGCCAGATCCCTGCACTGTAATACGTTTTGCATGGAAAGACATAGGATCTGTTGGTGTCTAGACCAGATTGCTCGATCTGGGTATACAATCCAAATTATATTAAGAGAAAACAGGTTCACGTAGATCGAACAATCTTGGCTAAGAGATTTCGGCTTCGAGTCAGTCGGGATCCGGTGATATTTGTGAAAGTATACTATTATCTACGGATCCTGATCTATCACCGATTCCGTATGGAACCTATAGAAATTTTCTGATAAAAATCAGTAAAAATTCGGTCGGAATCCGGTGCCAAAGAATTCAAAGCAATCTGCTGGTTCCGGCCGAGTGAGAATGATCTTGGAAGTGATGTTGATCATATGAATCAAAGGGTTCGAGCATAATCTTGCAAACGAAAGACAAAACGGTGGTCAATGGCTTTCTTTTTCAACATACTTAATATTGGTGCTCTTGCTGCTTTTGTGGTATGAACAACCAAAAGCGCTGAATGGAATGAAAAGAAAAGTTATCGTCGACATCTGTTCCTTATGGAATTAGGCTATGATTTTGTTCAATCCCATTTGGATCGACGGCGACGTCAACCGCAGGTACTTCAAAAGAATGTTCGACTAGCTATGCAAACAATCGGGCTAACTGTTGTTACTTCACAACCAACTATCACTTTAATAGCTACTGTCAGGCAACGTTGTCATCTTTGCCCAAGAGAGCGTGATCGGAAAGTTATTACTCACTGCTTAAGTTATAATGCCTCATGTTGACCAGATCATCATAAAGTCATTTGCACGATGTGTAGCGAAACACTTCCAGGTTGAAAATGGATTTTAACGGAATGTTTTAAAAAATAAAAGATAAATTAAGGAAATATGGTTTCTCTTTTATTAACTGCTAAGTCGATAACACGCAAATCACACATCACATAAGGTTACTATAGTTCAATACATACAATGTATATTATACCTATCTTATTAACGTGGAGTCCGTACGGGACCCAGGCGAGTAGTAAGTGGTAGTTCTACAGGTAGGCGTTTGCGAGTTAAGATCGATACATAGATGTTCGTTTGTAGAAGCAACTGATTTATTCGAATTCACCAGAGAAAAGACACTTCAACAATACATAGGCAGATATGTAAAAAGAGATTAGGAAATGCGCATAAAACAGATTTAGGAAGATCACTATTCGACGAAGATCCTTTTCATTGGAACACATTTAACAGCTACAGCGAAGGTGACAAAGATAAACGAAAATATCCAGGAATTGGACATCCATTTAGATTAGTACATACTCAAAAATGTGTGAAAGGCATGAATCGTATATAACGTCATGATTGTCATTTATAGAGTTAGTGAAAGAGTAAGACCACTTAAAAGCATTCCAAATAGGCATACTCTAGCAAAAGGGGCTCGTATTAGCTCTTAGCTCATCCAAGCATCTTATAGTTCGGCCACCCCCCCCCCCCACCCCCTCCTCCGCCCTCTCCCCGTCCCAACTCTCGACACGGACTGCTTCG